AAAGGTTAACAAAGAATAAGATTTATGATTAGGGGAGGATTAGGGTTTAAGGTATTGAAGAATGGATGTTTCGATGTGTTCCCATTAAAAACGCAGTATTTAAGTATAAAGCTGATGTGTCTTAGATAAGAAAATCATTACACTTCATACTTAAGTCTAAAGTCAGGCTGTTACACTTCATAAGTCAGACGTTCAGCTTGGACGCTTATCAGTTGAATTATTTTTTTATATTATATAATTCATTACTTGCTTACTTAATTCATCCACAATGCATTCTCTAATATGCAATTTTATTCACAAAGATTACTCATTTCTTTGCACTTTAAAGTTAGAATTATTCTATATCGATTAAAGCAATGAATCATTAGAAATCGCATCACATGAATGTGTTTTTTAGCATACAAATATCAAATGTTTGTATGTAACGTAAATATTGTTTGTAAAAGTAATAGCTTAGCGCGAGCCACTGCTCTGTGTTTTGAGCAAATTAGACCAAAGACGACTAAAACATATGTTGAGATTTTATACTTTCCAATAAACACACTGTGTAAACACTTAATTGCTGGGATTAATAGAGCAAATGTTAACTGAGGTCATCTTGTGCCTTCCTTCCGCCTGGCATAAATGTCTCATTAAATGGGGTAGCTCGTTAAATTCCAGTAGCTTTGGCTCTCCCAGGAGGTGACCTAAATATGTTATTGGTGTTTTGATGGGATGTCCGTCCCATTAGGAGCGTTCCGCACGACAGGAGTCGCCGCCTCGGGAAATTAAACGTGTTTTGCTCCCGTTAACTGGGTTCAAACTGTTTCACATTAACTTTACCGGCTGGATGAAAGCATTTCCGAGTTAACCATGAAATCGGTTTATTTTTTTTAGTAATGGAAGAACAGTAAACCATAAAAAACTAAGTGAGATTTTCTTAAGTAATTGAAAAACTTATTTGTGCTCTACAGTTAATTATTTAAAAAGAAAAAAATTAATTTTGTTTTTAATCGGGAAACCACAAAATTAAATTGTTAAAATAATTGAATAATCATCATCGTCGTTTCCTCTTGGGGTGCACATTTATTTCCAATTTTTTTATTGGAAGCGTTTTTAGAACTTATGATTAAATTTTGAAATCGAATGCTGTTTTTTATTCTACCAATTCTTTTTTTAGTTTAACAGCACAACAGCTTTAGGGTACTTTAGTCTCAGCTAAGAATGTTTATCTCCTAGCTTTCAAACTAAACATTATCTAACCAGGTAAATAACCTAATTAACCTTATCTACCACCGTCTATCCCGTAGCAACGCCCCCACGCTCCAACTGCAAAACGCTGTCGAGCCCCGGGCCAATGGCAAAAAGCCCACTGGGGACAGGACCAACCCATCGAATCCAGCCGAGCCTCTTCTGCCAATGACTGATCCGGATTTTCTGAAGGGCAACGGCAGCGGCGTCTACGATGATCGCGAGTGCAGCTGTCCGAGGGAGTTCTACCAGCGGGCCGAGATCAACTCCTCGCTGTTCTTCGAGGACTGCATCCGGTCCATTGACTTCGTCCTGGCCTACAGGACCAGTGCCCACGAGCCCACGGAGGTGGAGAACACGGAAAAGCGTCGTGTCTTCGAGGCGAATCTCATTAGCCAGGGTCTGGAGGTCGAGGCCAGCCAAAAGGACCAAATCTGGTTCGTTAAGGTGAGTAAGATAGTTGTAAAAAATATTCCAAATAATTTTTATTTAATATCTTCAGATCCATGCTCCTTTGGAGGTCCTGCGGCGGTATGCGGAGATACTTAAGCTGCGCATGCCCATGAAGGAGGTGAGTCTACATAGTTTTTATTATCTAAAAAATTATAATTTTATAGCATACTTTTAAGCCGTTTAAAAAATTCCAAAAAATTCGTTTTTTTTTTAAATTTTTTAATTTATTTTTAATTATTTTACATTTTATATGATTTTAGTCGTTATGCAATTTGGGCATATATGAAAGATCGAATCGCCTACGAAATGCGGCCAAATACCTGTCCAATAAGGTTGGCCAAAGCGTTGAAGTTGAACCAGTTAAATATTTTATTATTAATCCCCTAAAAATAATCTTAAATTATCTTTTTTCGTTTAGCTTCTGCTGTGAGTTTTTTACAGATCTAACTAAAATCCCCAGTCTAACCTTGATAAATTATAATGAAAATATAAAGTAGAACAAGCCAGCTTGAATGTTATTTTGATTGTCATATTTCTAGGCTCTTGTTTAATGTAACTTTAACTCTTTTAGATTCCTGGCATGTCCGTGGTTAATCGGTCGACCAAAAGCGTGTTTTCTAGTCTCAAAACTGTTTTCCAATTCTTCCTGCGCAACATCTACGTGGACGAGGATATTTTCCCGAAAAGAGCGCATCGATTCACCGCCATTTACAGTCGAGATAAGGAGTATCTGTGAGTGGAAAAATAAATTTTATTCAAATTTGATTAATTAATAATTTGATAATATTATTTCCTGACAGCTTTGATATCCGACAGGATTGCTTCTTTACCACCGCCGTCCGTTCCCGCATCGTTGAGTTTATCCTAGATCGCCAGCGATTTCCTGCCAAGAATCAACATGACATGGCCTTTGGCATTGAACGACTGATTGCCGAGGGCGTCTACTCCGCTGCCTATCCGCTGCATGATGTGGGTAACAGATTATATCTATATTAATTTATAAAACCATGTATTTGCCTGCTTAACACAGGGTGAAATAACAGAGACGGGTACAATGAGAGCGCTTCTTTACAAACATTGGGCCTCGGTACCCAAATGGTATCGCTATCAACCCCTGGACGACATCAAGGAATATTTTGGTGTGAAAATTGGTGAGCTATAATAATTTAAAATTAAATAATGAAAAACTAATGATGTTTAATCCACCTTTAATAGGTTTATACTTTGCCTGGCTGGGCTACTACACCTACATGTTGCTGCTGGCCTCGATTGTGGGTGTGATTTGTTTCCTATACTCCTGGTTCTCTCTCAAGAACTATGTGCCTGTGTGAGTTGTCTGTAATTATTCTTATTTTGTTATCTAATAGTTGATTAATTTTCCAGTAAAGACATTTGTCAAAATGCTTATACAAATATAACGATGTGTCCCCTTTGTGATTGGTGCAACTTCTGGGACCTAAAAGAGACCTGCAACTATGCCAAAGTCACGTACCTCATTGACAATCCCAGTACCGTGTTCTTCGCCGTTTTCATGTCTTTTTGGGCCACCTTGTTCCTGGAGCTGTGGAAACGCTACTCCGCCGAGATAACCCATCGATGGGATCTGACGGGATTCGATGTGCACGAAGAGCATCCGAGGCCACAATACTTGGCCCGTTTGGAGCATATACCGCCAACGAGAGTGGATTATGTGACCAATATCAAAGAGCCAACGGTTCCATTTTGGCGCATGAAGCTGCCAGCCACTGTATTCAGTTTTTCGGTGGTGCTGCTTCTGATTGCCCTGGCATTTGTGGCCCTTTTGGCCGTGGTTGTGTACCGAATGTCCATGCTGGCGGCCCTAAAGGTCGGTGCTAGTCCAATGACCACCTCTAGTGCCATTGTCCTCGCCACAGCATCGGCAGCCTTTGTGAATTTGTGCCTGCTCTATATACTTAACTATGTAAGTGAATAGTAGGTGAAATCTTTTAATGAAATATTTTTTTAATTATTTAAATTATCCTCTTAGATGTACAACCATTTGGCCGAGTACCTAACTGAGTTGGAAATGTGGCGCACACAAACCCAATTTGATGATTCGCTGACCCTCAAAATTTATCTGCTGCAGTTCGTCAACTACTATGCCTCCATTTTCTACATAGCTTTCTTCAAGGGCAAATTCGTGGGCCATCCGGGACAGTACAACAAACTATTTGACTATCGTCAGGAGGAGGTGAGTCCTTAAATTGAAATAATATACATATTTTATTAATTAACCGATTTCCATATTTTTTAGTGTTCTTCTGGCGGCTGTTTGACAGAGCTTTGCATCCAGCTAGCCATCATAATGGTGGGCAAGCAAGCATTCAACACTATTCTTGAGGTCTATCTGCCCATGTTCTGGCGCAAGGTTTTGGCCATTCAGGTTGGCCTATCGCGACTTTTTAACAACACCCCCAATCCGGACAAAACGAAAGACGAACGCTGGATGCGGGATTTCAAGCTACTGGACTGGGGTGCCCGAGGTCTGTTCCCCGAATACTTGGAGATGGTCTTGCAGTACGGGTTTGTGACCATATTCGTGGCCGCCTTTCCCCTGGCTCCATTCTTTGCTCTGCTCAATAATATCCTGGAAATGCGACTGGATGCCAAGAAACTTTTGACCCACCACAAGCGTCCAGTATCCCAGAGAGTTAGAGATATAGGTGTGTGGTATCGGATTCTCGACTGCATAGGAAAGCTTAGCGTGATCACAAATGTAAGTAAAATCGGAAAATCCAATGGATCTTAAGATTTAACATATTTTTTTTACATCCTTTAGGGATTCATTATTGCCTTTACCTCCGACATGATCCCGCGTTTGGTATATCGACATTATGTCAACAAAAATGGCACTTTGGATGGTTACCTTAATTTTACACTATCCGAGTTTAAAGTCGCTGATTCACCCACCTTGAATAGCTTGGCTGGCGATCTCTCCAACATAACCACGTGCAAGTGAGTAGAATATAATTATAAACTTTTATTAGATAAACTCTATTACTCATTGTTTTTTAATTATTTCCAGATACACAGATTTCCGACTACCACCTTCATCTCCGGAGAAATATACGCTAAGCAGCATGTTTTACATCATTTTGGCTTGTAGACTTGGTTTCGTTGTGGTCTTTGAGGTAAAAAATCTTGAGCACTAGTTTCACTATTTTAAGTTAGTCAAAAAAAAGCCAAGAACGTGTTTGATCTTAGTTTCCAAAACGATTTTTATTTATTTATTCCAAAACATATATTCAAGGGCTGTTAGTTAAACAATTAAGGATATATCAAGACTCCAAAGAATTTCAGGCATTGAATGTGTGAATGACATCGCTGGGAATGACTTCGATATTCTCACTGGGCACAGACTTCAGTTTTCGATAGAGAGCATAGATGCCGTAGGAAAATAATGCATTAAGCACTGAAATGTATTTTTAAAGTTATTAAATCTTCCCATTATCAGATCCGAATAGCCCACCTATAAATGTGCCAAAGATTAAGCTTCTAGCTATCCGACGATCCACTGCGGCATCAACTTCATCAATTCTGAGCTCCAGACTCACAAATATTCCCGTTTCAACGGCCATTGAAAGCAAAGAATTTATCAACCAGGGAGCAATACATACGAGTCGTTTCTTAAAATATTTAAAAATTGATTTCAGAAAAATTGTTTTTAATTAAAAAATTTTAAATTATTCACCTGCTTGATGCCATCGACGAGAAGGAAAGCTACCATTAAATTTGTCAATGCCTTTACCCAAATTATAAACGTTGCTGTCATGTAGAAAACCTGCGAGAACTCTCGAACCCACAGATAGTTTACTGTAAAATTAATGTTTAGAAAGCACAACTTGTGTTTCTGAATTTAATTTACCTAATGTGGAAAACAGGGTTCCAATAGGAGTTAAGGCTTCCACTTCGGAATCCGTTTCCCATTTTCCAATATCTATCAAATCGAAGTACAGATAATAGCTAGAGGGTCCCAGTATGCTGAGGGCAATCAATATGTCTCCGCAGGCTATGCAGAGGCCCACCGATGACAGGCTAAAAAGCTCGAAATACTTCATTTTTAACCCGGTTTTTTTTTGGTTACTAAAGAGTTAAACTGAATCCTGATTTATATATTGTATAGTTTTCGTATCCTTTAGTTTGTGTTTCCTTGATTGTAATTTGTTTCCTTGAATATCCTTTTTCTGTAATTTTTAAACTTTTTTCTTTTAACGCGACCGATTCCCTCGAGGTGTTCACAGCTACTAACTAAAGTTTTTGATTCTAAGTAGAACTAGGGCCAATTATCACATTTAGTTTTCGTTTTATTCTATTCATTTATCTTTCATTTTCCCTGCATTTTCTTTCTCTTATGCTGCAAATATCCAAAGTCCATTCAGCGAAGTATGTTGCATGTTTGCTTTCTGTTGCTGTGCCGGTTTTTTGGTTCTAAGGGGTTTCTTTTTTCGAATAGAACTCGACCAATTCGTTCCCAATCACCCACATATTAGGGTTGAGGCTAGCACCTGTCTAAGCTGCCTTTAGCCAATTGCATTTACTTGCCTGGAAAGTTGTCACTACCAAGGCTTCATTTGACCCCAAATTGGGTAGCAGCGTCACGGAAAAAATATTCTAAATCAGGGGCGTGAGATGATGAAATTTCAGCATAAATTAGTTGGAAAGATTACCTCAACATTGATTGGTTTTTTTCGATTTTTGCTTTCAGAACTTTGTGGCTCTGGTGATGATTCTGGTGCGTTGGTGCATTCCGGACATGAGCGTGGAGCTGCGGGATCAAATCCGTCGCGAAGTCTATGTGACCAACGAGATAATCATCGATCAGGAGGCTCACCGGGCGCGATTTGGTATGTTTTTCGATTATTAAATTAATTTTAAATTTTTAATAAAATTTTCTGCATTTTTCAGAGCGAGCCAAGCGAAGCAGTTCGGTGCTTCAGACACCAGTTGACCAGGACATGGATGCTGCCTCCATTCAAGAGCCGAATGCCAAGTTTATTAACATTGAAAAGCTCCTTACTGAAAATCTCACCCAGATCGAAATGGATGCGATTATACATGGCGAAAACCCAATCACAGGAATCTCCGGTGCAGATTGCTTGGATGAAGTGCACAAAAAACTCAGTGACTAAGCTAGAAGTTCGTTAAAAGTGATTCATTATGTTACGGATGTTCCTTTCAGTCACTTAATTATGTCTTAGTTATGACTCCTTAATTGAAATTGAATTATTGCAATTGGTTTGCAATTTGGTTACAAGCTTTACTCATGGTTCATTTGTTTCGTAAGAGCAAAGTTAATATTATCTAGGCTATCCTTTTTTATGACATTTAAATGTGGCTTAGACTTATTTTAATGCAGCCCAAGTAAGTGCCAATATATGAACGAGCACAATTAGCTTAATTTTAAATACTATTGAAAATCATGAAATGTAAAAGGAAATCTCTATAGGACAAATCTCACTCATCTTAAAAACTCAGGCTCTCAAATGACTCGTACATGAACATTTATTTTAGATAGTGTAACATATATAAATGTATTTATTGCATTCATTGAATTGTATATTGATGTTGATATACTGAAATCTCTATTTAATGTTGATTATAAAAAATAAACAAATAGTAAAATACTGGTGTACATGAAAAAAATTATAAAATAGTATTTTTGAAACATTTGGAAATTTAAAAATATTGTTGGTAAGCTATAAGCATTTTTGCTTTTAATTTTAGAGATTTTTTTGGTAATTCCACCATCTAATTAATTAGTTTAAAATCTTCTAAATATTATTTTAATTTAAAATCATTTATTTATTTAATGTAAAAACTATTCTGTAAATTTAATAACATTTTTTTCACTTTTCATACAATTAATGTACATAGGAATTTCGATATGCCCGACTGTTCACATTGTAGCGCCCTGTGACGCCATCAGCCATCCCTGGTCGGCACACAACGACCCCCTTTTTCGCCACCTGGGGGGTGAAAGGGGGGTTCCAAGTGGCGCAACAAGCATGCATTTGGGCCAAGCACATTCGGCGCCACAGCAGGCGACTTCCTCAAGATACAGATATACGGATGAGTGCTCGAGTATCTGACTGCCTTGGGCATATCTGGGTATCTCTCTCTCGAATCGCTCTTTATCGCTATGGCTGCGCATGAGTCGAGACAACGGTGACGTCACTCGAGAAAAGCGTGCGCGCTCTCAGCTGATTTTGACCGCCTGCTACGCGCACATGGCGATATGGCGGTATCGTGAAAATACAACTCGTATACATTTTCATTCGCTTGCCTCGTTTTCCACAGTGCAGAGCAGAGGCTGAGCGAGCGCTTGACTCCTGTTTGGTTAGTCAGTTGGTTTTGTGTTCAGTTTACGTCGCGATTTGGCAGTATAAACATCGCAGGACATCGAGGGACAAGGGACGCGATGCCGGGTTCGATGATATTGGTCCCTGGCAGTGCATTCGTTTATTGCCCCAAGGCGCTGAGACCCTTGGCGGCGTTGCCCTAGGATATCGTATAGAGGTACTCGCCCTGAAGTTCCCACAACTGTTGTCCTGGCAACTGAACGTTCGCAACCAGGATTTGTGGTGGGTCAGGCCTCGACACGCATCTCCGGGTGAGTCAATTAGTTCACTCCAGTCCGCCTTTATTAGCTTCATAATTAAAAAAGCATTCGGAGCTGTCATGCTCAGCCAATTGAGGTTTTGTGGTTTGCTGCATTGCCCATACGCCCCGTGGCCTCATCTTCGCAGTGCCAGAAAAAATAAATCAACAAAATGTATATATAAATTTAATATTTAAAAATAGCCTAAAGGTAAATCCGAAAAATTGCAATTTAAATATTGTTTGTATAAATAATAACTTGTTGATTCAAATGTAGATATTTAAACATTTAGGTAAAAGCCTATCAAAAAATAAACATTTTGTTATTATTTTTAATTATCTTGTTTGCCTTAAAGCTTGTTCTAAAATATTTTAAGCTTTAAAATAATTAAATAATTTATTTTCTAAATTAACCTTTCAGTATCCTTGATTTGGTCTAAGATTGTTGGCAATTATGTTGGGCTTTCCTTGTGCAACTCCCCATCTCCTCATTCCAGATATTGATTTTTAGTGCCGGCGCCGGCAAATACTCGCAGTTGAGCAAATAAAGTTGACGCTGTCTTTGTCCGTCTGCCTTCATTGTCCCGCTCAGGAATTGCAGTGTCCTTTGTGCCTTCTCCCCGGTGGAAGGAGTTTGCCAGGACCTTGGTTCTTTGTGCTGACAGACATTTAGATCCCACTAACGGGCCACCATTTATATCAGTGCAAAATACGCATCAAAAGTTGTATTCCCTTTGCGGCAATAAGTTCCTTGAACTTTCAGAAAAAAAAATAAAGGAAGGGAAAATTCCCCGCGAGTTGCCAAAGAACTTTTGCAGCTCTCATGCTAATGAGATTGATAATTTTATTGATTTAATAATTCCGGCTAAGTGAATCACTCTTTATAATCCCCGCCCGTGATGTTAGGTATTATTTCGATAATTATAATTACTCAGTCGCGTAATGACTTCGATCGTTTATGCTGGGCCATTTTAATTATTTACAATTACACTGGATTTGCTTAGCCGCCAGCTGACGAAAGTCCCGTCTGCCTGTAATTACCCTTGAGGCATATCATGACCAATATTCCACCCAGTCGCCCCAGACCCTATCGCATTACACATGGAACCCCCCGAAGTCGCCAAGTAAGTGCTAAATAATGCACAGAGATTGCAAAGTGTTTCTAGTTTGCTTCTGTCCTGTTCTGTTTGCTCCACTCGGAAGACTCTGGCCTGACATTGAATAATGATGTTGTGAGCTGGCGTTATTAATGCTTTCTGAAGCGTAAATATGAAATTTTTGAATAACATGGGACCATCAAACTAAGTCTGACAACTCACTCAAAGCGAGCATAAATTTTGAAAAGGTACAGGATGCCGGCTTGTTAAATCAATGAAGTGTGTGAAAAATTACGCATACGTCATGTGGTACAGGTCAGGGACTTAGCCACTCCATTTTTCACAATAAAGTCACTTAATTGTAGTAAAGCCGTCTTGTTACCTGCATTCATTTATTTACATTTTCCACTTTCCCCTCCATTTTATTTTTAAACCGTATTGTGTGGAATATTCATTAATCATTAATTTATAAATATTTTTTCACCTTTCAATTTCACTTATCATCATTGAAACCGCTTTAATCTGAATATTAGGAACAAATTGCGCAAATTGAGTATACGCTGCGTTATGAAAACGAACATTTCCGGTGCTCAGTGAAAGAGATTGATATAGGCAGAACGATAAAAACAGATTCGCTAATTTAATTTGGGTCTTCGACATACACACTTACAATACGGGCATGCACGTTTTTCTTCACTTAAAATCCAAGACTTTTGTTTACCAAATAATAGCAAAAACATCAATTGGAGCACCATAAGAAACCATAAGTAATTGTTCGGTTATCAAAATAAAAAAGCCCCAAAAACAACAAGTGAATAATGAACGCAATTTCCTTTCAACTTGGAGCATAATGGGTGGAAATCAAAGAATCGCTGAGTCATAGAAATTTTTGGCCTTTGTATGCACTTCCCAAACTTTGTGTTCATGAAAATTCATATACGTAGGTATGTATATCACTATGGCAGACGCGATTTGCGTGCTTATAAATTAAGGCAACGTCTGTCTCTGTGTATTTTGCCGTCCTTGAGCAGTCCTATAAATAGATGTGCCCCCTGAAGACCCCCCAAAGACAACGTCCGCACCGATGTCGAGTTCCGAGTTCCATTTACACGCCAGGAGACCCTCAATCTGAGGAACCTGCCCCATTTGCCGCTTCTCCCAAGTGCTGGCCATTTTGTTGGTACAATTGTAAAACGTATTTTATGGTAATTTTCACTTCTTATGCTCGAGCCACGCACATTGCCCCGTGATGATTTACGATGCCTCGGATTTTGCAGCAAGGAGTAGATTTGATTACCGTGGTGAAAGCTTATCAGGTTTCGTTTTGGGATAAACAAACCCAATCTGCGTCATTCGATTCCTAA